TGTGGATTTCCTTCCACTCTATGCATTCCCGGTGGTGACAATATGCACATATATATGCAATCATATATTGCATTGATTGGTGTCCTTTTCTCCCTTCGTTTTAATTTTTTTAATGTTTATTTATTTTTGAGAGAGAGTGTGCATGTGTTTGTGTGTGCGTGTGCATGCGCACATGAGTGGGGAAAGGGCAGAGAAACAGCAAGTCACAGAGACAGGCTCCAGGCTCTGAGTTGGCAGCACAGGCGCCTCAATTTTTTAATAAATATTTTATTTTATTTTATTTTTTATTTTTTAATGTTTATTTATTTTTTGAGAGCGAGAAAGAGAGTGCAAGCAGGGGAGGGTCAGAGAGAGAGGGAGACACGGGCTCCAGGCTCTGAGCTGTCAGCACAGAGCCCGATGCTGGTCTTGAACCCACCACCATGAGATCATGACCTGAGCCAAAGTTGGATGCCCACCTGACTGAGGCACCTAGGTACCCCTAAATATTTTATTTCGGGGAGACTGTTTGGCTCAGTCAGTAGAGCATGTGATTCTTGATGTCAGGGTCATAAGTTCAAGCCCCATGTTGGGCCTGGAGCTTACTTAAAAAATAATAAATAGAGGCGCCTTGGTGGCTCAGTCAGTTGAGTGTCCAACTGACTGGCTCAGTTGGTAGAGCATGTGAACTCTCGATCTCGAGGTTATAAGTTGAAGACCCATGTTCTATGTAGAGATTACTTAGAAATAAAATTTTTAAAAAATAATTTTTGAAGTTTATTAATTTTGAGAGAGAGAGAGAGCAGGAGCAGGGAGGTGGGCAGAGAGAGAGGGAGAGAGAGAGAATGCCAAACAGGCTCTGCACTGTCAGTGGGGCTTGAACTCATGACCTGCAAGATTGTGACCTGAGCCAAAACCAGTCATCCCTCATTCTTTCCCTTGTGCATGCACCACCCTCCCTTCCAGTCTGGAGACCAGATCACCCCTGGGAACTCTCCTCACCCGATGGCTTGATCTCAAGAGGCAAGATGTAGCCTCTTGATTCCCTGTCTCTCAGCCAAGCTGTTCCACACTCTGACATTCAGGGATCCCACTCAGATCTCCGAGCTCACTTAAGCCCAGGTCACTGGGCTGTGGACCTTACCTGCCAACTGAGTGAGACAAGTGGCTGGCTGGCCTTGAATCCAACTAGGAGACTGACACTTCCCAATGCCATCCAAGACCTCAGCCAGAGGGAATGTGGCTTTTGCCACAGTCCAGGGCTTCAACCACTGCTCTTTGCTTCCTGCCTCCTCAAGACACATGTCCCAGTGCTCTCACAGACACCACCACTGGGGCTCCAAGTCCCTGAGTCCAAAAGCCCGGTTCCTGATCCTGCCGATGGCTAACCTCTCCTTTCCCTGGTGGGCACTTTTTGTGACTTGAACACATTGAAGCACACACATTCTTAAATGAAATTACATTTCAGGCAAATGCAAAGAGGCATATAGAATTCATATTTGTAAAAACCAAAGAAGAAAAAATCCAAAGAGAAAAAAAAAACAGCCTTGCATGGGAATGATAAACATCACATTCAACAAGATGGTTATCCATGGGGTAAGAAGGAGGGGTGTAGTCAAGGAGTAGGGCTTCTATGTTATTTGTAATATTTTAGTTTTTAAAAAAACTTTGAGGGGCACCTGGGTGGTCCAGTCGGTTAAGCATCCAACTTCAGCTCAGGTCATGATCTCACAGCTCGTGGGTTTGAGCCCCTTGTTGGGCTCTGGTCTGACAGCTCAGAACCTCGAGCCTGCTTTGGATTCTGTCTCTCTCTCCACCCCTCCCCCACTTGCACTCTAGCTCTCTCTCTCTCTCCAGAATAAATAAACGTCAAAACAAATTTTTTTTTAATAAAAAAATTTAAGGGGCGCCTGAGTGGCTCAGTTGGTTAAGCGTCCGACTTTGGCTCAGGTCATGATCTCGCAGTCCATGAGTTCGAGCCCCACGTTGGGCTCTGTGCTGACCGCTCAGAGCCTGGAACCTGTTTCAGATTCTGTGTCTCCCTCTCTCTCTGACCCTCCCCCGTTCATGCTCTGTCTCTCTCTGTCTCAAAAATAAACGTTAAAAAACCTTAAAAAAAATTTAAAACAACTTTTTTGAAATAAATGTGACAGACTCTTGAGCTGGACAGAGCTGGTGGTTGGAACAAAGAGATTGAGTACATTATACTCTACAATTTCCAGTGTGTTTGATACACAGTTTTTTTTTTTTTTAATCAAAGAAACAGTGACTTCAGGAAATCAGTTGGGGTGGGGAGTCGGCATGTCATGGTGGAGGGTGGGGCGTAGTGGGGGTGCTGGCAAGGTGTCTGGGATCTAGTGGAAGAGGAGTAGGCAGCTAGACCCAGCTCCTGAAGCTGGCAGGGAGCATGGAGGGAAGTGCCAAGATCAAGATCCTATCACAGTTCAGGGTTGGGACAGGGGAGTCCTAATATTCACGAAAGTGAAAGCGCGGGAGAGACGTTGAGGGTGTGTGCGCAGAGGGTGTGTGCCTGGTAAACCCCATAGACGTGGCAGCTCCGGGTAGGGGCCAACCAAGCTGGGGTGGCAGGTTCTTCCTTGCCCTGCTGGCTGCCAGTCCCCAGGGAGCCTTGCACCAGGCGGACAATGCACCAGGTAGACTCTTGGCTCACCCCCCTCCTTCTAGGCTGTCTGACTCCCTGCAGGGGCCCCAAGCCTTTCACCAACCTGAGCTTCTCTTTTTTCTCCACCCGTGCCCTGAGAGCTCCAGAACCTCAGGGAGCCCAGAGAGCCTTAGACTTTCAACTGGGGGTGGGTACTGAGCTTTCTACATGCAAAGCGACAGTGTTTGGGTGGGATGGGGTAAACAGTGTGACTGAGAAACTAAAGGGAGAGTGTTCTAGATAGCCTTCCCTGGACGGAAATTGCCTTTCCTTGGGGAGGGCCAGGCTGATGACTCAGGTTTAGGGGAGAGGCTCCACTCCAGAGGGTCTGCCCCTGATGGTCCAGCTGGGGAATAGGAGGCTAGGGAGAAAAGGTTTCTTGAGCCTATGGTGACCTAATCAGCCAGCTCTGGTGTTTATAGTTTGGAGGTTTGCTACCTTCATGGCAATGCATCCCACCCCTACTCAACAGTTAGCAGAGTGGAGACAGACAGACATGACCCCCAACTTCTGGCTGGAATCCTGAAAGAGGTAGAGGCTGGCATGGATTCTCCTCAATCCATCCTGGACAGAGTCAGGAATCCACACGGGGCACCCCCTCCCCTGTAGGTCCAGATCCTGAGACCCCCAACAGGATCATACATTATGGGCTGAGGTATCCCCTTTGCTTCATCCCAAGCTTTGGGGATTCCTGACTCACTTTCCTTTCACCCTCCCCCAGGGTACCACCCCTCTGCCTTCTGTGTGAGTTGAGGGTGATGGGAACCTGAGATGCTTGACATATTGACTCCCTTTTCCCAGGGCTTGAAGAAAGAGCTGCTCACTGCCCACTGGCCAGGATGTGGGATAGCAGCCCCTAGTGTGCTCAGATTCCTGACCTAGGACATATTATCTATTTAGGAATTTTACTGGAGGCCTGGGAAGAGAGAGCATTGGGAGGCGACGGACTTGGTGGGCTGAACTCTATATGCCAGACTGTAATGAAGACCCTCTCCATCCCTTTCTGAACAACTTTGTCTCCCTATCTCTGTTTCTTTTTTCTCTGTATCTATCTCTCTGTATCTATTTCACTCCTATCCTTTTATTTATCTCTCTCTTTTTCTTTCTCTTCTTCTCTTCGTGTTTTTCTCTTTCTCTCTGTATCCTGCCCCCCCCCCCAACCCGTCTTTTTCTTTAATTCTCTCTCTTGCTACCTGTGTGTTTATCTGTATGTTTCTCTTTGTCTGCATGTCTTTACTCTGTCTCTCTCTTTTTTTGTCTCTGTTCCTCTTTGTCTGCCTCAGGCTCTCTGTCTGTCTCTCTCAGTTCCCTCCAGGTGTCTATCTCTCTCTAACTTGCTCTTTTTCTGTGTGTACATGCCCATGTCACCCTCTCCCTCTGCCACTCCCCTACCAGGCTGGCCGCCATCCCTGGTCTTCTCCAGCTGTGAACGGGTCAGCGGGGCAGGAGCCCCAGAGGCAGCTCCCGGATATGCTGAGTGGGGCTTGGGAACCACCTCGAGGAGATGGGCTGCCCCTGCTCACTGTCATCGTCACTGCCTTTGTCCTGCTGGCAGTCTGTATTGTGGTGGCAGTCCACTTTGGGCCAAGACTACATCAGGGCCATGCCACTCTCCCCACAGAGCCACCAGCCCCGAAGCCAGAGGGCGGCATCTACCTCATCCACTGGCGAGTGTTGGACCCCTGGGACAGTCATGAAGATGCCCAGCAGGAACCTCCTGTCCCTGGCTCCTACCCTGTGCCAGATGGGCCTACGCTCAGCATTGAAGAAGTCACATATCTATAGGAGGAAGACTTTGAAAAGCTGGACTGACCTGGCTCAGAACAAGCAACTGGACAGAGAATTAGGGCAAAAGAAAATTGGGTCTTGGGCATCAGAGCTTTGGAAGGGCACACATGGACTCAGCAGGAGCTGCTCTCCCTGCAGAATATTTATAGAGAAAGCCCTGATGTGGACAGGAGAAATAAAAGAAACTTGAGGGCTTTGCCCAGAAACCTGCTGCTGTGAGCATTCCGAGTGCCAAAGGCCACCTTTACAAAGCTACCCTCTCCTTTTCAAGGACCATCAGATCCCTGACCAAGTCCTCACTCTCTCCTCTCATCCCTAATCTCCTTTGCTTTTGTTGTTAATGTGAGTCCAGCTTGAAAGATTCCACCACCCACTCCACCTCTGTGCAGGGATATCAGAGTCTCCCTGTGGAGGTCCTGTCCCCAAAGCCCCCAGGTCCTGTGAGGGCCAGCCAAGGAGAGGGAAGGCAAAGAACCCAGGGGTCTGCCTTTTCCAGGACTCAGGAAGAGAAGGAAAATTTGCTGCCTTTCACTGATTGAAAGACATCCCTTTGGCTTTTGGTGTCTAGGCCTTGTCAGCAACTTCCGAGGCCCTTGCAAAGCCCCAAGCACCAATTCTAGCTCCTCAAAATGCTTTTGAATGCCTTCCACTGTGTTGGGGCAAGACCCTGTCTCGCCTTCCCAGTGTGGGATGGGGGGATTTGGGAGATTCCCATTACCTCCCCTGTTCTGTGTGTATAGGCCTATTGGAACAGGCCTAAAACTTATCCCTGGACATTTCCCAAATCCGGAACCTTCCAGTCAGTGGGAAAACAGGAAAGGAAGAGGAGCTTTGTGGAGTTTGTTTAAAGGAAGGAAGGAGTGAGGAGAGGATTTATAGGGGGTGGGGTGTGCATAGGAATTGTTAAGATGCAGGAAGACAGAGCTGAGCCTCCTGGTGGCTCTCTGGAAAGGCACCCTTGCCCTGACACCTTTGAATCTCACTCGTGTGCTGTCAAGAACACGCAGACAGGCATTTATGGAGAGACCTCTGGGTACTTTACCCTGGAGAACGCTTGAGGACAACAGACCAACACTGGGCACTGCCCTTGGTGAAACCCTAGCACAGTCAGGAAGGGTAGGAAATAACAGAAGACGAAGAGGAACAGAGGTGGAGATTGTAATGTATACAGAGGACTGGCTTGCCTCCTTTGGGACTGGTGAGAGGCAACTATAATGTTAATAGCTGCTCCTTCTTGTAGTCCAGCTCTGTGCTGAGCACCCGGCCCATCTGTGGACCTGTGGATATTATATTGTTCCCTCCTCACCTTGGGAGGAAGAGCCACTGTTATCCACATTGTATAGTTGGGGATATCAAGATACCCAGGGGGACACAGGTACTAACCAGTGAAGGCAGGTTTGAACCTGAGCTGTCAGACTCCACAGCCTAAGCACCAAGTTGGGGGCTGGATGGGTGGGGGAAGGTCATTTTGGAAAGGCCCTTGATTCTGCCCTCGTTTCTAGGTACAGGAGTGACTGATGTAATGCTGGAGGATCCTCACATCTTGGGGACAGAATGGCTAGGACAGCTGTGAGGAAGAGGAGATTGCATCCCCCTTTACTCCCTTGGCTGTGTCATCCTTGGGGGCAGTTGGTTCCTTCTGGCAAATGTGTGTCTATGTGTGGAGTCTTTCTCCACAGAGACGATGTACACAGAAATTCATATCGAGTGTTTGTGATAAAAACAGAAGTGAGGGGCACCTGGCTGGCTAAGTCAGTAAAGCATCTGATTCTTGATCTCAGGGTTGTGAGTGCAAGCCCCACATTGGGTGTAGAGATTAATTTAAAAAATTAACAACAACAACAACAACAACAACAACCACCACCACCAGAGGTGAGAGGTAGGGAACAAATCCTGGGTAGAACAGGTGGAACTGGTAGAAATGGGCTGCCTGTCTTCCCAGAGAGGGGCAATTTTTCCACTACAGCGTTGTTACAATGGCTCAGTTTTAACAGTGATGGCATAAGATACAGCAGGTGCTTGGCTGTGTTGTCCAAGGTCCCCCAGAGTGTATCCCATCTCCACACACAAACGCTCTTCTCCCCCCACCCTTTATCCCTTTGCAGGCTCTATCATCTGGGGACATTCATGCAGTGCCCCCAGCTCCTTTGAGCAGCCCCTTGCCTGGGATCCAGCTGTGTACCCCTCATGGCATCTGCACACCTGCTCAGGACGCTCTGTATTCCCCAAGCCTCCCACTAGGGACAAGAGCCATGAAAGGGCAGGCAGATGCCATGGGGTGCGCTACCTTCTGCACCCTCAGCCTGACTGCTGGGCTCTGTTCACGGTGAAATGATACTCACCACCACTCTGTCCTGTCCTAGAATAAGGAGGGGTATAAGGAAGTATGTCTGTGCAAGTGGATTTGGACATTTCAGACAATAAATGCCATTCGCTTGTATCAGAGTCCAGCCAGAGAAAAATGGCATGCTCAAATTGATAATCTGAGGAGTGTTTAAAAGGGGAGCTGTTAGACATAGTTTTATTTTTTTTAATGTTTATTTTTTCTTGAGCATGAGAGACAGAGCATGAGCAGGGGACAGGCAGAGTGAGAGAGGGATACAGAATCTGAAGCAGGCTCCAGGCTCTGAGCTGTTAGCACAGAGCCAGACATGGGGCTCGAACTTACGAGCCGTGAGATCATGACCTGAGCCAAAGTCGGACGCTCAACTGACTAAGCCATCCAGGTGCCCCAAAGGGGAGCTGTTTAGAAAGGGCAGGTATAGGGAAGCCACAAGTGGACATTACCAGGACCTGGTAGGCCTGAGCAGCATGGGGAAGGGGTAGGTAATGGAACCTGGGGATAGACAGGGCTACTGAGAGCATGGCAGAGCCATGACTTTAGGTCAAAGATGCAGAGAGCCCATAGTGATCTTGATACTGCAGGGAGGGATCTGGGGGAGTAACTACCCCTATATCACCCTCCTCCTTCCCTCTGTTCTCCTAGTGGGGCTCCTCATGGATTGAGCATGAACAGAATCCAGAGAGCAAGGGACCCTGGTGATACCATCCCAGGGAAGAGGAGGCAGAGAGGGATAGAGAGACAGTCTAGAAGGTCCAGTGGAAGACACCTGATGTGTCCCTTAAGTTTACCTGGCATTTAGAGTTTACAAAAAAGTTCCAGACAGTCATAGTCCTCACAACAACCCTGTGAAGTAGGTAGGGCAATGATTATAATCCTATTTCATAGATGAGCACACTGAGGTTCAGAGAGGCAAAATAACTTGCCCAAGGTCATAGGATTCATCTTGAGATGTTAAGTTCAGGGACCATCTCTGAGAGGGTCCTTGTGGGAAGAAATGGTTCTTCTGGCCATTCAGCTGCTGAAGAAAGCTCCTCAATCCGGAGTCTTGGGAATCCAGAATCTTGGGGAGCATTGGGAGTGCAGACCAGGTAACCCTGGGCTTCAGAAGACATCTGTACGGAGTGGGAGAGGCTGTTCCATGCCACTGATGAGGAGATTGGGCTCTTGGGACAGCACAGAGGGATTGCGTACCATTGAGGTCCCCACACTGCCCACAGTGACCTCCCTTTCCTCTTGCCGAAGGTGCCGGAGAATCTCCTGTGACAGGGAGAAGTTGCTTCCCTCTTCGGGTTCTGGAACAGGGATGGAGAAGGTGTGGATGAAGACCTCATATGTTCTCATTTTAACATACCCTGAGGACTGCTGGGCAGATCCTCCAAACCTTCTTCTCCCGCACATCCCAGCACCCCCTCCCCTTCACTAAACTCTGGGGCTAGAGTTTCATGGAATTCTAGAGCTAGAAGTGGTTTTAGAGATAACAGAATTCCACCTTCCCAGTTTTCAAGATGATGCACAGAGAGGGGCAGGGACCTGTCAAAGTCACACAGTGATGCAGTAGCAGAGCTGAGGCTGCAGCCCCGATGTCTTTGCTCCTGACCTGGGGCTCTTCTGCTTCTTCTGGCATCCCTAGATGAAGTGAGGCGCCCCTAGAACCCATCTCTTTACACTCCACCCAGGACAAATAGCTGAACACCTCAGAAAGCAGTTGAGTGCCCTAGGTGGAGAGGTAGGACCTCTCCCAGGGAGGAAGAATGCAGGGCTTGAATGCCTTGACCACTTGGGAAGGCCCAGGACCTGGTGCTGTCGTATCTATTTCTAACCCCTCAGGACACCTGACTCTTCCTGCCCTATAGCCTATCAACCCCTCACCCTGGTAGACAATGAGGCGGCAGTTGTTCTGACACTCAGGGGTGTCTGCCAGGATGTCTTCAAGTATTCGGCAGAAGAGTTTGGCCTGCTCAAGCCGATCCTCCCGGCTAAAGCCAGCTCGGCCATCCTGTGACATGGCAAAAAGGGTCTGCAAGGGGGTGGCGTACTCCAGAACACAGATGCCTGCCTGAAGGAGGTGAGAGGAATACAAGACTCAACCAGGGCCCAGGCAGACAGACTCTGGACCCTAGTGCCACTACTGGGGCCCCCCTCCCTCAGCCTGTAGAGATGGAGCACTAGGAGGAGGTTACCCTGATGGGATCTATGCTGTCTGGTGGTCTTTGCTCCTAAAATCAGGACCAGGACTTTGCTAAATTTATCCTTCACAGATCCTCCCCCTCAGATCCCAGGGCAAGGCCCATCAAGTCACCTGCTGTCAACTGCTCCAGCTGGAAACGAATTTGGGAGCCGGGCCCTGGGGTGCAACCTGTTCTTGGTTTCCCTCAATCTATGTGAAATCTTTCAGACATTTTCAGAACCTCATCTAGGACAGCTCTATGGTCAAGTGCAAGGTATACTCAGGTTGAAATCATCCACTGTCTTGCTGGTTCTCTGAGTCTCAGTTTCCTTATCTGTAAAGTAGGGGTCATAACCATCCTTACCTCACAAGGTGGCAGTGAGGGTTAAATGAGGCGGTCACATGAATACCATCTGGTATGCAGTAAGTGCTAAATAAAGGTTACTTATCATTGTCACCATTCAGAGCTGAATCTTGGCACCAACTGGAGAAATTGAGGCTCAGAGAAAGGCAGTGAATTTTTATCAGTGCTTGGCCAGCGGTCAGAATTCTGGTGCTCTGGGCCTGACTCCTCCTTAGCAGCACCCACCTCACTGCACACTCACCTGTTGCCCGTTTTCCAGAAGCGCATAGACGCTGTTGGTGTAAACCCGGCCCTTGATGCCAGCGCGGTCAGCGCTTTGCTGGGGCAGCTCATACAGGAAGCGAATGTTGGGGTCGGCCACACTCATGTCATCAGGCACTCCACAGTCCAGTGGGAAAAGGATGTGCAGCCGATGGCTCCCTGTGCCCCGTAGTATGTTGTTGTGCAGCTGATTGCATGTGAGTACCCGGGCCGGGAGCCCTGGGGTGGAAAGGCCCGAGAGGTCATTCCTACTAACCCTGTCTGCCACCTGACCCGGGATAGAGACCAGGTCATTGGTCCCCTCAATGTGCGGGTTCAAGAGAACGAAGGGTCCAGTCCACTTGCATTGTGCAGGAACCAGGAGGGGCGGAGCATTCAGGTACCCTTTCCTTCTCTCCCTCCACCCCCACCACCTCTCTCTCGCCTCACTTGTCCTTTGTCCAGATTTCTGGGCCTGCCCCACTCCTTCCCACCACAGCTTTTAGGGCTTTGAGAGGCAGGAAGAGCCCTGGGAGGTTACATTGGCAGCATTTCCAGCTGCACGGAGTCTGGCCCTATCTCCAGACGTGTTTCCTAGCAGAAGCCCTGGTGACAAGGGCAGATAGCAGTGAGATACGGGAGAACTGTGGTCTGGGCCAGCAAGTCAGAAGAAATAAGACCTGACACATGGGCTCACAGTGGAGAGGTCAAGCGTCCCTGCTCTGGACAGACCTGGGTTCAAATCCTGTCTCCTCCTCTCACTAAGCCATGCGACTTTGGAGAAGTCTCTTCACCTCGCAGAACCACAATTTTCTTATCTCTAAAACAGGAATGTTGCAGGCGCCTGGGTGGCTCAGTCAGTTAAGTGTCCGACTTCGGCTCAGGTCATGATCTCACAGTTCGTGGGTTTGAGCCCCATATCAGGCTCTGTGCTGACAGCTCGGAGCCTGGAGCCTGCTTCGGATTCTGTGTCTCCCTCTCTCTCTGTTCCTCCCCTGATCTCACTCTGTCACTGTGTCTCTCAAAAATAAATAAACATTAAAAAAATAAGATAAAATAAAACAGGGATGTTGGGTATTCGTTGCCCACAGGGTATGAATTAAAAGGCAAAATGCACAGGAAGGACACAAAGCATGCCGTAAATATTCACTGGAAGAATTCGTGGTTAATGAGGGAGAAGTCACTGTTCCCATGGTTAACAAGGGAGAAGGAGTATGGCTCTAAGTGCCACACTCCTTCCTGTAAATCAGGCATAATAACATCCTTCATACCTACAGAATTGCTCTGGGAATCAAATGATTTGTTAGGAATAAAAAGTCTTTGAAAAATACAGCAAGTTCTAGAAACACAAGAGGTTTTATGTCTAATTGTATGTCTTAGAGACCTAGAGAGAGGGGCATAGAGAATGACTCACCTGGCAGGATCAGCCGCAGGTACCCAATGTAATATGACCATGCCAGCCCATGGGCCACGTTGAAATTCTTTTTTTCACAGACTGCAGAGACCTCAGCTGGGGCTAGGCCCTAGACAGCAGTACAGGGCAAGGAGGCCTCCATGAAGGGTAACTGGAGCCCTCCTCCTCAAGAAGATTTCCCAATCTGCTGCCAACTTACTTCCTTCTCTGCCATTGCTGGACCCACTGTTACAGACCTTATAGGCTCTACTCTAAGGACCAACCTCTAAACTAATCCCACTCCCAGTGCTGAGGTCAGAGTAGGTCATACTAGCTGCAGCCTCCATTCGGCTACACCCTCCACCTCTCTCTGTGTCTTACCTGGAGGTCCAGGAGGATGTTCAATGCCTGTGAGAGGCCCAGGAGGGCAAGCATCCAAGTGAAGGGCAGGTCTGTGCTGGGGAGGGTGCTGTAGAAATAACAGGAGAGCAGCAGCAGGGCCCCACTGCGAACGGGGCTGCCCAGGCAAGCCTTTGTAGCTCTCCAGTAGCTGCCCTGGTACCTGCAGGTGACAGTCAAGCCCCAGGCTCCAGCCCAGCTCAGCCAGAGAGATTCAAGGAGGGGCAGGGTCGGGGGTCAAGGGAGTGAGACACATTGGGTGCCCAGTCACCACGGGTAATAGAGTCACCTGGAGTGGAGGTGACACAGCTCCTCAGTCAGATGGCAGACCCCCGTGAACAGCAGTCCCAGCTGCAGGGAGGCCAGGTGGAGCACCAGCCATCGGAGAGTATGGTCCGGGGACTCCCCCAGCCTCCAAAGGGCTGCCAGGCAGACTGCCAACAGGACCAAAGCCGCCTTCTGGGCCCCCATGCCCCTGGGCCTCGGGATGGATGGGTGCAGGCCAGTACGGGGCATCTGTGGGCACCAAGAAACCCACTGTTGTTACCCTCTCACTCCCCTACCGCTTTGGGATAGGTTGCTTTCTCCCTGGTGCCCAGCCAGAGCCAGAGGCTGCTCTTTGAGAAGCCTCTAGGACAGGCCGGACATACAGCATCCCAGAGCTCCAGTCTAGGAGAGACTTGTTGAAACAGAGCAGGAAGACAAGTGCATGTGCCCCCCCACCTCCGGCAACACACACACCATACCCAACCCTGTGACACCACAGGAGTAGTGAAGAAAGAAAGTAGCAACCGTCCCAGACCCAGACCTGAAAGTGTCCTGTGAGGTGCCACCCACCTAGAGGCTGTTGGGGACCTGGACTTCCCTCTTTCCAAAATCCACCCCAGGGGAGACTTTAGTCAGCAAAGGTGACACCGCAGTTCAAGGGGTGCAGGCAGGGCAGCCAGAAGACTTCCACCCAGCTCTGGCTCTCGGGGGCCTCAGCCTCGGAGCCCTTGCTCCACTGCTCCTGATCCTACCTACCTTCTACCTCCGAAACCCCGGGCTGTTTCTGGAAGATGACAGGGAAAGAAAGCCCCGTGAAATGGCTCCCAGCTATAAAGGCCAGCCTTTCTGGGTACAGCCTGAAAACGAAACATTAAAAACCAATCATAACTTTTTCCACAGCGCTCCAGCCCTGGCGTCTTGCCAGACCACAGCCTAGGGGAGGAGGGTATTTCCGGCTCCCCAGGGAAGGAGGAAGGGCCCCAATAAGCCATGCCCCAGTCTTGACATGGGGAGGCAAGCTTGCAAAGGCCCTTGTTCCATTGCCCTTTGCTACCCCTGAACCGAAGGTGTGCACAAACCCGTTACAGTCCCCCGTGGCCACAACCCTGACCACCTCGAGCCCTCATGATCAAACACCCTCTACCAACACCCAGGCAGGACTCCATGCGACCAGACCGACACTCCCAGACGCACTACACCATGCTTCCCTGCCTGATTATTTTTATTCTGATTTCCAGATGCAGATCCTCTTTTTCTGAAGACTGTGATATCAGGAAGGAGGTGGGGAGAATGAACAGTTATTTCCCGTAATGACAGCCTTTCTAGTAAAGGGCTTTATGGCAGCAGAAAGCCCACAGGGGAGTGGAGTTTTGGCTCTCCACAGGAAGCAGCCACGCCTATGACTTCTCAGAGAGAACCCTGCAGTTCCAGCCAAAAAAGCAGTCAAGTGGAACCTCATCGACAGCATCATCATCATAAGGTATTCACCACGCACCAGATATTATGCTAAGTGTTACATATATTATTTACTTAATCCACTGAGCAACCCTGTCAGGTAGGTATAATACTATTCCCCATTTTGCAGACGGGTAATCTGAGGCTCAGTGTGGTGAATTGCTTGCTCTGTGCCTTGATTTCATGAGAAGGGATAGAAGATTGACCAGGACCAAGTTTCATGCTTAAGATTTCCCCTGGGGTGGCAGAGGGAGTGTCTCAGGGCTGCTCTCTCGCAAACTGATAAGCTGATTTGATTTGAGGATGGCGCAGACCTCAGGAGTGGGATTGGGGGGCACCCACAGAGGGGCAGCAGTGTATTCCTGCCCAGGTCAGAGAGTCTGCGCCTGGACCCTTCCCCACATCGCAACCGGAAACAAGATGACACCCCACATTCATACATGACACTGGCCTCCCAGGAACAAGGAGGTTTCCTAAAAACTCTTGTTTGTGAAAATCACTTCCTACAAATGGAGGAATTCCTTAAACCTTCTCTTCCCTGTAAGTGGCTCACAAAGGGGCCCCGTGAGGCGAACAAGGACTCAGCTGCTTCAAAAGCAAAGAAAATGAAGGGTGCCCAGAAGAAGGCCTGAGCAGAGCCCTCCCAGAGCACAGCTTCACACCTGTCCCAAGAGTCAGCTGTGCCCAGCAACCTGTTCCCCCAGGCTGCCTAAGACCCACGCCTCCCAGGGGTCACCCGCCGCCAGCTCTGCGCCCCCACACGGGTCGTCGCTTCCCCCGCACCTGTTCTTCATCCCACCCCTTCTGCTGGAGGAAGTTCCTCCATTTGATAGGCCAGGTAGGCACTATGCATCATAAGCCTTAAAAAACGTGTGATTGTGGACGTAGCAATCCACTTCCAGGAACCCTTTGTCAAGGAATAATCAGACAAGCGCACAAAAATGCCCATTTTTTTCAGATGTTCATAGCAGTGTTGTTTACACAGAAAAAAACTGAAAGTTATCTAAATGCCCAACAGTTGAGGACTTGTTAACTAAATTGTGATTCACCTTACAGTAGAAGGTTGGGCAGCCTCTAAAATGATGATGTAATTTTGTATTTATTGACCCTGAAACAGGCTTATTATATATTTCTTACTGGAAAAAAGCAGCATACAGGACAATTAATCGCATTTTAAGAAACTTACTTTGCATGACAAAATGTGTGGAAGCACATAGTTCAAAATGCTAACAATGATTATTCTATACAGTAGGAATGTAGGTGATTTTTAGTGTATTTTTCCCTGTTTGCTCATTACGTTTACTTGGGTTTCTTTTCCCAATGTGGAACATGTATTGGTTGTTTCCTGCTTCGAGTATGCTTTAAAAGGAAAAAAATCCCAGCATTGCCTCAGGGCCTATGGGATAGGATTGCTGGAGAATATGTCAGGCCCGGTCCTGTTGTGACATGCACAGCAGGGCAAGACAGTGGGTCTTATGCAACTGCACCAGTGATTAACTACAGCTGCAGAGGGGGAGGGTGGGCTTCTGTTCTTTTTCTGAAGGGAACCTGGAATACCCAAATCTAGACTTCCAGGAAGAAATGCCATTTCAGCTGAGCTTGGAAGGAGCAAGGGAAGAGTGGTGGAGAGGAGTGCCGGTGAAGAGCATTCTGATAGAGCAGCTGGTGCGAAAGCCCTGGGGTGGGCAAGACTTTGGTCCATGGAAGAACAGAGAGATGGCTGGCATAGCTGGAGCACGAGATCATGTTGGGGTTCTGAATTAGTTTCCTAGGGCTACTGTATCGAAGCACTATAAATGTGGTGGCTTAGAACAACAACAAAAGTTTTTTAAATTTTATTTATTTTTTTATTTATTGAGAGAGAGAAAGAGAGGGTCTGAGCAGGGGAGGGACAGAGAGAGAGAGAGAGAGAGGGAGAGAGAGAATCCTAAGCAGGCTTTACACTGTCAGCGCAGAGCCTGATGCAGGGCTCCATCACCCAAACCGTGAGATCTTGAACTGAGCTGAAATCAAGAGTCGGATGTTTAATCAGCTGAGCCACCCAGGCACCCCCAAAAAACAGAAATTTGTTAAACAGAAATTTATTCACAGTTCTAGAAGCTGGAAGTGTGCAATGGCAGGGCCATGCTTCCTCTGAAGTCTCTAGATAAGGATCTTTTCTTGCCTCTGCACCCTTCTGGTGCCCCACCCACCCACCCGCCGTCCGGGCATTCCTTGGTTTGCAGCTGCAACCGTTCAGTCTCTGCCTCTGTCACAGGGTGTTCTTCACCCGTGTGCCTCTGTCTTCACCTTGCGTCTCCTCTTATAAGGACACCAGTCCTGTTGGATGGGGCCCACCCTGATGACTTCATCCTAACTTGATTACATCTGCAAGGACATTATCTTCCAGGTACTGGGAGATTAAGACTTCAACATATCTTTTTGGAGGACACAATTCAACCCATAACAGGGTCAATAGTGTAAGAAGGGGATGGGAGAATGGGTCTGTGACCGGGGCCTCGGGGCCTACAGCGTGTCACAACAGCTGTATGCATGGGATCTTCCTCACCACTTCCTCTGTTCTGACAGACAGAGACCTCGAAGCTCTTCTGGGCTGACCATCTGGCATCCAAGGCGGAAGCCAAGGGTCAAAGCAGGGAAGTTAGGCCCAAGTTTCAGGCTGCCTGGCTCACAGGTTGCTGCCCTCAGGCCAGTGTTGCAGACGGTAGCATTCTGTTCCACAGTCGCCCTTCTCTTAGGGCCTCCTCCTCACTTCCTGGTAGTTGCTTCTTCCCTCCAGACACTCCACAAGTGCTTGTCTGGGCCGGCACTATGTGTTTCTATTTCTAGCCCCATTACAGTTCCCATGGACCTTGTCATCAGTGTTCCTGGGAGAGAAATAAACCCCTAAACACTCATTCAGGGGACCCTGAGCCTGGGACAGAGTGTGAGTGGGATTGGAAGGCCTCTGGCTTCTGAGGTTGCCCACACAATCCCTTTCATGTGGAAAGGTCCTGGAATCCTGCTAGGATAAGGACGACATGGTGTCATATGGTAACTCTATGTTTAACTTTTTGAAGAACCAGCAGACGAGTTTCCAAAGCAGCTGTGCTATTTTGCATTCCCACCAGCAATGCATGAGGGTTCTAATTTCTCTACATTCTAGCCTATACTTGTTTCTTATCTATCTTTTTGATTATAGCCATCCTAGTAAGTGTGAAGTAGTATCTCGTTATGGTTTTGATTTACATTTCCCTGATGGCTAATGATGTTGAGCATCCTTTTATGTGTTTATTGCCATCGTATATCTTTTGCAAGAAATGTCTATTCATATACTTTGCCCATTGTTAAAATTAGGTTGTTGGTCTTTTAATTATAATAATAATGTATTATTGTAATTATCATAAGAGTTATTTATATATTCTAGATGCAAGTCCCTTTTCAGATATGTGCTTTGCAGAAATTTTCCCCTATTCTATGGGTTGTCTTTTCACTTTCTTTGTGGTGTCCTTATATCACAAAGTTATTAACTTTGATGAAATCTAAATATCTATCTTTTCTTTTGTCACTTGTCCCTTTGGTACTATATCTAAGAAGCCATTGCCTCATCAAGGTCACCAAGGTTCAAACCTATGAGCACCTGGGTAGCTCAGCTGGCTAAGCATATGGCTTCAGCTCAGGTCATGATCTCATGGTTTGTGAGTTCAAGCCCTGATTTGGGCTGTCAGCGCTGAGCCCGCTTTGGATCCTCTGTTCCCTTCTCTCTCTTCCCCTTGCCCTGCCTCTCTTTCTCTCTCTGTCAAAAATAAATAAACATTAAGAAAAAAATTTTAAAAACAACAACAAAGATTCAAACCTATGTTTCCTTCTAAGAATTTAATAGTTTTGGCTCTTACATTTAGGTCTTTGGTCCATTTTGAATTTTTTGGATGTGGTTTGAGTGAGGGGGTCACAGTCATTCTTTTGCCTGTAGATATCCAGTTGTCCCAGCACCATTTGTTGATAAGACTATCTTTCTCCATTGAATTGTTTTGGCACCATTGGCAAAAATCAATCGACCAGGAATGTGAGATTTTTTTTGTGAATTCTCAGTTCTTTTCCACTGATCTGGAAGTCTATCCTTATGCCAGTTCGTACCATCTTGATTACTATAGCTTTGTAGTAAGTTTTGAAATCAGGAAGTATGAATCCTCCAACTTTGATCTTCTTTTTCAAGGTTATTTTGGCTATTCTGGGACCCATAAATTTCCATATGAATTTTAGGATCACCTGGTCAACTTCTGCAAGGGTGCCAGCTGAAATTTTGACAACGTTTGCACTGAATCTATAGGTCAATTTGAGGAGTATTACCATCTCTTTTTTTTTCCTAATGTTTGTGTTTATTTATTTAGAGAGACAGCATGCAGTGTTGGAGTAGGGGCAGAGAGAGAGGGGGAGAGAGAATCCCAAGCAGGCTCCAGACTGTCAGCGCAGAGTCTGATGCAAAGCTCAGTCTCTGAACCGTGAGATCAGGACCTGAGCCGAAATCAAGCATTGAAAACTTAACCAACTGAGCCCCCCAGGCACCCCTCTATTCTGCTTTTTCACTAAGGAACATATCATAGGCATATTTGTGGGTCAATAAAAATAAAGTCACATCATAATTTTTGGTGTGTGCCCAGTATTCTTTAGTATAGAATTATGAGTCATGATTGAAGGAGCCACCTGTTATTGGGCCCTTAGATTCTTTAAAATTTTTCTTTAAAAAAATTTGCAATGAACATAAGGAGGTGCATCTTTGTGCGCTTTCTTTTCTGATTATTAGGAGCGATTCTCAGAAGTGGGATTGAGGGGTCAAAGATTATGTGTATTTTTTGAGCTTCTGATGGACAGTACCAA